TTCGAAAAATGAAACCTCCTAGACCATGGGAGTCGCACTTGCTGTGTTACGCTGCTTCACATGACGTTTCATGATATTTTCCCCCTTCATGGTGCTGGGGTGGGCATGGTGTGATGCATCCCGCCCATGGGCCGTCAATTTGACATCCCTGTCCTAGACTGAGTCCCTACTCACTAAAATGAAGAAATTATAGAGAAGCAAAGCATGTATATCCTGATCTATTCTGATTCATTTGTCGAAATACTGTGTACAGTTTAAATAGCCATGTCACTGCTGTCCTGTTCTGTCAATTCTTCATCAGTATCCATAATAGTAAAAGTTCAAAACAGAATTAAGATTGAATGTACCTATTAGTTATATAATTACTTAACCCCTTACAGATGGTCTTAGACTTAGAAATTCCTTTTTTACTTTTCATGATGATACTTACTCCTTTAATTTTGGTTATTGTAGGTACTACTCCCAGCAGCCAGCTTGTTGCAGCTTCAGGATGTAAAAAAAAGTTGCTGTGATTTTTTGGAAACTCAGCTTCATCCTGTCAACTGTTTGGGTATTCGAGCATTTGCTGATGTGCATGCCTGCATTGAGCTTCTGAACAAGGCCAACACATTCGTAGGTAAGTGGAAGTTCAATTCTAAAAATGAGGATTGTGGTATTTTTAACTTTGGAGAAGCCATATTGCTCACATTAAAAAGAATGTAAATTACAACAGAGAAATTAAAGTTGTACCGATAACAAACAAAAATTGTTTTATGATTTGACATTAGCAAAGCAGCCAAGAGGTTGAATAAATTTCAAAAACTAAATTTTAAGATTAAAATATATATTTAAACAAATTAGTATTAAATCTTTGAAAACTGGCACTTTTTCCCTTTCTCAAAAGATTAATGTAGTAATACAATAGTAGGATTCAATTTGCCAGAATAAAGAAAAGAATTATTGTTAATGTGCCAATTCAATAGACAGCAATTCAGTTTCCCAGAATACTTTAGCTATAATAGTGATAATACAGCAAAAGCAACTAGTTTTTTATCTGGCCACCTACCATTTCTGAGAAATGCTCTTCTGCATTGTATCATCAAGGGTCTGTGTTGAGAATTATTCCACTTGTATTAACAATACATGTATGCTTGCGTCTGTGGAGTTTACCTTCCGGAAAGCAATTTCTTTTTTTTCTTTTTTTTGAAAAGTTTTTATTTTATTTTAATTGAACAAAAACACAAAAAAAGAACCATCCTTCATTACAACTTGTAGAAAGCATGTTGATTGGTTACAGATAACTTTCGTGCAT